TAAGTAGGAAAACCAACATACAACAGATACAGTGCACAGATGATTATAACATATCATAAATAATGTTATATTTTATGAAAAATATTTTTACAATAATTTCTTCATATATAATTAATCATCTTAATCACAATTCACAATATAAGAGATATCAGAAATATCAAATATCATCTCCATAGAATCTCAAAAGATATTGTACAACCTTATAATTAATAACAGTCCTCCTCTGTTAAATAAAAGTTTCAAAACTTTCTGCACACAAAGCAGAGGCTCTTTGACTGAGTCACAGCCCCTCCTCTAATCTGTAATCCACCTCAGAGAGAAAGGTCAACGATAAATGAAGTAAATTAAATAAACAAACAATATCAGTGAAAGCAGCTAATAAGACCAAGCCAAGGCATAAATGTATATTAAATAAGTAGCACAATCTAAAATAAGAACATAAGAGAAGCCATGCTGGATCAGGCCAATGGCCCATCGAGTCCAACACTTTGTTTCCCACAGTGACCCAAACCCAGGTGCCATCAGGAGATCCACCAGCAGGGACAGAACTCCAGAAGCCCCTCCCACTTTTGCCCCCCAAGCACCAAGAATACAGAGCATCACTGCCCCAGACGTAGTGTTCCATCTATACCTTGTGGCTAATAGCCATTGATAGACCTCTGCTCCATATGTTTATCCAATCCCCTCTTGAAGCCGTCCGTACTTGTAGCCACCACCATGATGTTAATGAAACAGTCATCAAGCTATGAGCAGATCAGAAAACAGCTAATAAAGACTGAACCCCTTTGCTAAAAGTCTGGGGGAAGAGAAATGTTCTGTCCCAGTGCCTAAAGGAAAGGAAAGTAGGTGCCAGGCAAGGCAAGGAGGATGGCATTCCAAAGATGAGGTGCCACCACCAAAAAAGCCGTCTCTGGTTCCCTCCTGCGTTACCTCTGTAGGCAGGGACACAGAGAGCAGGGCCAGATAAGTGCATCTTAACTGGTGGCCTGGACAGTACAGGAGGAGATGGTCCTTCCAGTAGCCTAGCCCCAAACCATTTGAGTAGGGCTGCCAGCTCTGCTTTAGGAATACCTGGAGATCTGGGAGGTGGAAACTGGGAAGAGTGGGGTTTGGGTAAGGTTGCCAGGTCCCTTCTGGCAACCAGTGGGGGATAGGGAGGACTTACCAGGAGCAGGAGGGAGGCTCAGGCTATGTTGCCGGTGATATGACGATGTCACATCCAGCATGTATAGGAAGTGACATCATCATGCTGCAACATCACTATGATGCTCTGGTATTCGGGCAAAACCTCTATGGTATTGTCCCGGGCACCCCTGGGACCTGTGCAGGATAACCCCGGCGGCTCCGGGAGTCGGCGCAACCCCCCTCGGCACGCACCCTATCGACAGGCCGGCGCGGCTTACCGTTCCTCCCGGCGGAGCTGCAGCGATGGCCGACGCGCCGGGCACCCGGGATGAAGACGGGGCCGAGGAAAGCGAGCTCGGGAGGGCCGCGGGCGGGCAGACCGCGGGTGAAGGTGGTCCGAGCCGGCGGGCGCTCGAGCAGCGGCCCGCCCGTGCACGGGCTTGCACCCTTCGAGCGGGAGCAGAGCGAGGGCCAAGCGCGGGAGCTGCAGACCCCGCCGAATGGCGCCCTTGGGAGCCGGGGAGCGGGGCCGGTCGACTCAGCGTCCCTGCCTTTATGGGGGGGCGTGTCCGGGGAGCCGGGGATGCCGGGACGAAAGGGGGTAATAAAAGTTGAAGGAAAGCATGCCGGTGAGGAAGGACCGGGCTGGCTGCAGCTGTGGCCGTTCTGTTGCTGTTGAAAGAGAGAAAGGACGAGAGCCCAGCATACAGAGACAGCCTAGACCCGGGCAGACAAAGAGAGTGCAGAAACTCCCTGACTGGTCCGCTTCTGAGGCGCGCTTCCTTCCTCAGAGGAGAACCCACCTTTCAGACCCGTGCCTCCTCGGGTCCCTGTCGCGGCACCCAGGGCAGAGACATCGTCGGGAGCCACGGCAACGAGCGGGTCGCCCGGGAGAGCGCCAGGAGAGGCTCACAGGTATAAATGGCTTCTACCATAGAGTTTTTGCCTAAATACCAGAGTGTCACTGCAACTACGCTGGTGTCACTTCCAGTGCACATTGGATATGACATCGCCACGTTGCCAATGATATACCCTGGGCCTCCCACCCTCTCTTGTTGAGTTCCCCTGCCGGGCAGCTGATCAATGGCAGGGCGCAGGGCTTGGCAGTGGGGGACCTTCGCCTCCACTGGGGGGCTGGCAAGCCTAGGTTGGGGAAGGGGAGGGGCCTCAGAAGAGTACAATGCCATAGAGTCCAGCCTCCAAGGCAGCCATTTTCTCCATTGTCTGGAGATCAACTGTAGTAGTGGGAGATTTCCAGGGACCCCCTGGAGGTTGGCAACTCCACTTTTTGGTCCTTTAAGGTACAGACTAGCACTTTGCGTTGTGCCCATTAACAAAGAGGCATTTAGGAGTTAAACATACACTGCTGCGCCTTTCCAATGAAAATGCCACAGCTTCCTATCTTCTGTTAAATACGAGAACCAAGCATTGCAAGTTCCCTCAGGCCGTTCTTTTAATAAGCTGCCATTGTACTGCTAGCAACGCAACCTTCTCTCCTACACTAGAAACCAGAGTTTCTATTTCAGGATAGTTCAAATTCCAACTTCAGGAGCAGGGGCGCCGCGTTGCATCGTTCTTGTTTAGCCGACGCGTCTCACCCGCTCCCGTATTGCATAATGAGACTTGCTCATAGGTTACTCTGCAGATACAACTATGCGGCAGAACCAGAATGTGCCGAGCCACCCTGGCACAAGAGGTGTGCCCATTGAGGAAAAATGTCAGGACTAAATAAGTAAAGGGCTGGATAGGCAGTCGCTGGATACTCATTTCTCCTGCTGCATTAGGGCATGCGTACGAGGCGCAAAAAAAAAATATTAAAAATGAGAATGTGTGTGGGAGAGCCGAGAACAGGCATCAGCTCAGCGGCTTTAGTTTCAACACCCACCCACCCACCCCACGCATACACTGCATCCATAATTCTGCCTTATGTCACCTCAGCAACGCAAGACATACGCCCCATCTAAACATGTTGCTGAATGAGACGCCTATGGGAGAACGGTATGGTTGCCAGTCTCCAGGTGGGGCCTGGAGATCTCCCAGAGTTAAAACTGATTTCCAGATACAGTTGCCAGCTCTGGGTTGGGAAATACCTGGAGATTTGCGAGGGGTGGAGCCTGGGGAGGGTGGGGTTTGGGGAGGGGAGAGGGCTCCACAGGACAGAATGGCCACAGAGTCCACCCCCCAAAGCAGCCATTTTCTCCAGGGGAACAGACCTTGATCATCTGGAGATCAACTGTAATACCGGGAGATCTCCAGATGCCACCTGGAAGTTGGCAACCCTATATCCAGATGACCGAGATCCGTTCAGAGGGAGAAAATGGAGGGCGGACTCAGTGGCCGTCAAAAAATTATTATTTAAATAAATCCACCAACTGTGGATTGTATTTATGACACAAATGGAATACACGTTTATTACACAAATGTTCATTCATTATACATTTATTACACAAATGTACAAGTATTAGGCTTGCCAAGTCCCCCCGGGGGGCAGGGAAACCCCCGCCCCAGAGGCCCGTTCCCCGCCGCCGGCGGATTGGGCCCCGGGGGGGACTCCACCCCCACATTCACGTCACCCGGACGTGACGTGGGTACGCCGGGCACGCTGGGGGCGGGGCCAGGACCATCCGAGGGAAAACTTCCGGGTGACGTGGATGTGGCGCGTGCGAAGCAGTCCAGGCAACGGAGTCCCCCGCTCCAGTAAGTTTCTGACTTGGCAACCCTAACAAGTATGCCAGCTAAGGTTGCCAGGTCTGGGTTGGAAAATACCTGGAGACTTTGGGGGTGGAGCTGGGAGAGGGCGGGGCTTGGGGAGGGGAGGGGCCTCAGCAGGGTACAAGGCCATAGAGTCCACCCTTCAACGCAGCCATTTTCTCCAGGGGAGCTGATCTCTGTCAGCTGGAGATCAGTTGCAAGAGCGGGAGATCTCCAGGCCCCACCCTAATGCCAGCCTGGACCTGAATGGCCGGGGCTAATCTGATCTCGTCAGAGCTTCAAAGCTAAGCAGGGTCGCCCGAAGCCACCCCGGTACGTCTGCCTTGAGAACCGGATGGGGTCGCCGCCCTAAGTGACTTGACCGCACTTCCGACCGCCATGCCATCAAATTAAAAGAGGGGTCCTTACATTCATAAGAACATAAGAGACGCCAATGTTGGATCAGGCCAAAGGCCCATCCAGTCCAACACTCTGTGTCACACAGTGGCCAGAAATACCAGGTGCCATCAGGAGGTCCACCAGTGGGGCCAGGACACTAGAAGCCCTCCCACTGTTGACCCCCCCCAAACACCAAGAAGACAGAGCATCACTTGCCCCAGAGTCCCCAGAGTCGCATACATTACACTTGCAGGGTCGTCTTCCATTCGAGCAAATACAGGGATCTAACTTGTGCAGATTTTAACGTCTTCTTTTTTTAGGGCTAGGGTTCGTTTTACGTATTTACATATTTTGGGAAAGCCGCTTTGCACGATTCCGGGAACGACCGGACTATAAATCTTTAAAAGGATCCAACCAACGGCCAGCTCCCGTGCCCCCTCGGTTCCCCGGTCAGGAAGCGCGCCCGTGCCCTCTCCTCGGGCACCGATGGCCTCTTTCGCCCCACCGCCACCCGTTATATCTGGGGGATGCCGGAAACCGCCGCCCCGCGAAGCCCCCTCCCTCCCAGTCCCTTCTCCCCGCAGTCCCCAGCAGCAGCTCCGGGGTGGCCGAAGGACCTGGCGCGGCGCGCGGGAAGAGGGCGGAGGGTTGGCGGCCGGGGCGGCGCCCGGCGCACGCGCCACCTTCCCGCCTGGCCACCTGCGGCTCTGCCCGCGCCCTCCTCCGCCTCCGCCTCCTGCCTGCCTTCCCCACCTGGCCGCGGCCACGTCAGGGGCTGACCGCCGCCACTCGCGCTCTCGGCTCCCCGGGCAGGCCACCATGATCCCCTCGCGAGGGGGCTCCATGCCGCCGCCCCCCAACGCCACCGCCTATTTCCCCCCGCCTCGCGTCACCCTCCCGTCCGGCTTGGAGATCCTGCGCACCTACTCGGGGGCCTTCATCTGCCTGGAGATCGTAAGTAGCCGGGGAGGGGGGGGAGAGGGGGGCCTTTCTGTTGGGGGGGAGCAAGAAAGTCCCCCCCCCTCTTGCTTGCTTCTTGCTCGGGCTCTCCGCGGGGCTCCCCCTTCGCGACGTGTCTGAGTAGGAAAAGGCAGCTTTCAAAACAACCCCCCACCCGGGCGGGCGGGCGCGCCATTGCTTTTAGCATCGGGGGTCTGTTGCGTCTTCTTCGGGAGGCAGAAATCCAACCGGTGGGTCTTCCCTCGGCCGTCGCTGCGCCCCCGTGCTGGGGGGGAAGGACTGGACCTGTTGGACGTTTGCAGGACCCAGAGCTCTCCGGTCAAGCCGGCCGGAGAGCCCCCAAAATGGGCACCAAGAGTCCAATGTTCCCTCTAAGTAGTGGAGTCTTTGTGAGCTCCTGACATTAAAGTTGTGAGCGAGCGATTTGGCTACTGCATACATTAGTTTGCTCTGGAGCCATCCCTCCTGAGCTAAGACAAAAATGTATGAGCTGGAGGCTAAATAACTATGAGCTAGCTCACACTAACTCAGCTTAGAGGGAACACTGAAGACCATAACTCACCACCACCACCACCCCGCACGCACTTCCCGCGCCACTCTCTTGAATGGGCTTTCTGCGCATGCAACTTCGTCTTCTTGGGCCTTACTGGAATGGCCGGGTTTTAATTCTCCGCCTCGGTTTTGCCTGTTTTCCTTTGGTGTCTGTGTTACTCTGAGGCCAAAGACAGGATTTTATAAGAACAGCCTTTCTGGAACCCCTTTTAATAACCACGACCACGGCCTGTTTTTCTTTTTCTTCTCGGCCTTGCAGCTCCCTCCCCGTTTATTTTTTTATGCACACCTGGCACCATCCTGAGCTTGCTGAGATCAGGCGCCCCTTCCAGCCCAGGGGTTTTTCGGAGCCAGGCTACAGCATGTGCTCCGGGGCTATGTCAGATTGTGAGGGATTTTTCACAAGCTGAGATCACAATCTGGCATGCTGTCAAAAATGGGGTTGGTTGCTCCTACCCTTCCCTTTTCCCTCCCAGGTGGTGCAGAAAATGCTGCTGTTTCCCCAGGGATTAGAGCCTCTTCACCAGGTGTATTTCTGCCTGCCTGTGGACCCACTGGATCCTGGCAGAATGACTGTTGCTAACATTATTCGCTTGCTTTTAGTGGTGGGGCGTCTTCAGCGAGAAGAGGGTTGGCTTTCTCTGTTTAGGTGTTTATACCTCACTGCTCTCCCCAGAGCAGTTCATGATACCGTTCTCTTCTCCTCAGTTTTATCCTCACAACAGCCCTGCGAGGTGGATGAGGCTGAGAGAGCAAGAGAGAGAGAGAAAGTGACTGACACATGGTCACCCAGTGAGCTTCCATGGCAGTGTGGGAATTCAAACACTGGCTTCCAAAATAGATTTTATGAGACGCACTGTTTTTTCTCTTTTGTAAACAGCCTGGAGGGCTTTGGCTATGGGAAAGGTCAGACCGGTTTTATATAAATAAAATGTCCCTTGTCCCTCCCGATTAATGAGTTTCATCTTTTTTACCGAACTCTGCTATTACTGGTAGAAAAGAGCAAGAGTCCAGGAGCACCTTAAAGACTAACAACATTTGTGGCAGGGTAGGAGCTTTCATGAGTCTCTGCTCACTTCCTCAGATACTTCAGGAAAGCTCACACCCTGCCACAAACGTTGTTCGTCTTTAAGTGCTGCTCGACTCTTGCTCTTTTCTACTTCTACAGACAGACTTACACGGCTACCCATCTTGCTCTATCACCTATCACTGAAATGCTTTTCCTTATTGCTACATGTGCCCTGACCTGAATTGTCCAGGCTATCCAGATCTTGGAAGCTAAGCGGGGTCAGCTCTGCTTAGGATTTAGACGGGAGACCACCAAGGAAGTCCGGGGTCATGATGCAGAGATGGGCAGTGGCAAACCACCTCTGAAGGTCCTTTGCCTTGAAAGACCCATACGTCACCATAAGTTGGCTGCAACTTGGTGGCACTTTATACACACGCGCACATTGCTGCGTGCATCCCTCCCTCTGTGTTTTCTGCTTCAATCAGTGCAGCCTCTTGCTTCCGCTCACTGTTCCCTGAGCTTCTAGCTGTACTGTGGACATGTTTCTCCAACAGTGAATGAAGTGAACAACATCCAGAGAGTGCAAATTAATAAAGTGGGTGGCAAATGGAGGAGGAAGGCACACACCTGCCTCGTGACCGTTGGTGTGACTTGCCTGACTGGAGCCTCCCTCGGGTTTCTCCTGTATTAAAATGTGCCTCTCTTTTTTTTTGCAAGACCGATTCATCTAAATCCTCCTTTAAAGATGCATTTGCTTTTAAATCCAGTTTCCCATTTGGGAATTCGCTTTCTGAACAGCCGGCATGCTAAACAGTTGCTATGACAATTAAAATGTTGGCTCGCAACTTGCTGGAGCCTTTTATACTAACTCGGAGCTACTCAAGTGTGACTCATGCTGCCCGATGCCCCTTTCCTGCAATAGAGTGCTGCCCGCTTACAAAGACAGGGGCGGGTCCAGTCGCGAAATGGGATGATTTTTGTCTGGCAAAATTACATTAAGCAAGGCTGTGATCCCATGCACCCATTTACCGGTTTGATTGTTGTGGGATTTATTTCCGAGAAAACATATTATGACTCTTTTCAAACTGCCTTTGTATTCCGTTTTAGTAATCCATTGCTAATGGATTATTTTCTGTCGTTTCAGACAGACCCGTTTCTGTCGTTTCAGACAGACCCGTTTCTGTCGTTTCAGACAGACCCGTTTCAGTCGTTTCAGACAGACCCGTTTCAGTAAGTGGCTGCTAGTAGAATTTATTTTCTTGTTCGAAAGTGTGGTTGAGCCGCTTTTGAGGGAAACTGCTTTTTTCTGTTTTCAGCCCCTTTGCTGCGCTTCTGAATCACCATGGTGTGCTGTTTAAAATGTCCACAGCGCTTCCTATAATGCCACTTCCCCCTCACACCCTTTTTCATCATGTGAACTTCCTCAGACTTTTTTAAACGTTCTAAGGTGAGCACTATAGTGCTAAACCACTACAGCACTTCAGGGCTATAGGAGCACCATTGAGATGCATTGACTGCATTGACGCCATTAAGTCAATGCATCTCAGTGGTGCTGCTATAGGACCAAAGTACTATAGCAGTTTAGCACTATAGCGCTCACCTTAACGTTTTTTTAAAAGTCTGAGGAAGATCGCACAATGAAAAAGGGGAGAAGAAAAAAGTGGCACTGTTTGAAACGAGCATAACACTTCAGAGACGGCTCGTTAACAGAAAGAGATTTGCTGTATGAAACCCCCGTCCCTGTATCGCTTTACTCGAAATCAGGTCAAAAACGAATAACGTCTGGTTTAGAACGGTAATGTGAAAAGGGACATAGGATGAAGTAGCTTCCTACTGAATCACCCCATTGGGCTATTAAAGCGTGGGTTGTCTGTTTTGACAGGCAGCAGCGCTCCAGATGCTCAAGTTTTTTGCTTGTACCTACAACATCAGCTTGCTAAACTTGAGGTGCCTGGGATTGAACCCAGGACCTCCAGTGTGAAAAGCAGAGGTTCTTCTACTGAGCCACAACCTCTCCACTTGGCTTGCAAACTCCTAGGACTTTCCAGAAAGATCAGGAAGTTAATTGAGCAGAACAATGTGGGTTTTTTTTTTAATGAGATCAAAACCCGATGTTCATCTTGTGTTGTTAGCAGAGTCATAAATTGAGATCAAGTGGCTCAAGTGGTTAAGACGCTGAACTGCAGGCTGTGGAAGGTCAGTAGTTCAGCCTTTCGAGACCCGAGTGTGCCGCATGAGGGAGTGAGCTCCCGTCTCTAGTTCCAGCTCCTGCCAACCTAGCAGTTCGAAAGCAAGAAATTGCAAGTAGATAAATAGGTACCACTTCGGTGGGAAGGTAACAGCGTTCTGTGCGCCTTGGTGTTTAGTCATGCTGGCCACATGACCACGGAAATGTCTTCGGACAGCGCTGGCTCTTCGGCTTTGAAACGGAGATAAGCACTGCAACCATAGAGTTGGATTCGACTGGCTTTCGAGCAAGGGGACCTTTACCTTTATCTTACTTAGAGGACATAAAAATATTAGTACAGGATTGCACAGGTTGGGTGGGAGCTGCCAGTACATTATCCAGATGAGCTATTTGATATTATCCCCTAGAATGATCCTTATGCCTGTAATGACTTGATCCTTTTCCTGAACATATGACTTCACGTGAAACCACACCATTGACTGTGCTCCAAGATCTCGTCCAGAGATTTTTCCTAGCCCTGTCATTGAAGATTCTTTGACTGTGTTACACCTATGTGTATTAGGACATTTAGAAATCATGTATGCAAAGACTGACACTTTCAAAGACCAGACAAATATTAGGTATATTTTAATGTCATGGAAGTTTGTTGGGTGACCCTGGGCCAGTCACACTCTCTCAGCCTAACCTACCTCACAGGGCAGTTGTGCAGATAAAATGGAGGAGAGGGAAATGGTGTAAGCCGCTTTGGGTCCCCATTGGGGAGAAAGGCGGGGGAGAAATGAATCAAATAAGTAAATAAAAGTCCCCAGTTCTGTAGAGGCACCTGTTGCCTAGTCGAGATGCAGCAAGCAGCGGCATTAGAAAAGAAAGCTGGTTGAGCTTAATCCATCCCAGATGGAAAGCTCTCTCAGGAAACCTGTGCATGCCACCTTCAACCAGGGCCAGCCCCAGTTTATTTTGTACCCTAGGCGAGGATCCCTTCTGGCGCCCCCCCCCCCCCCGGGGCCCCCCCAATTTTTAAAAAAAACACACTTTTTAGGAAGAATGAAAAACACAAATAATCAAGAAACTCTGAGAGTACGGGGCCGGGTGCAGTTTGGCGCCCCTAAGGGCCGGCCCGCTCTAGGCGGTCGCCTAGTTCGCCTAGTGAGTGAGCCGGCCCTGCCTTCAACTCATGGAAGGAAACGGCAGATGCTGGGGCTGCAATGAATTTTTGCCTGCAAAAAAAAATTTCATGGTGGGAAG